AGATGCCCAAAATATAGAGTTTATAAAAAACTCTTATGAGAAAGGTTCGCTGATATGTTGCCCATTTAGCTTAACATTTCTCACTTCTTGTTTCATAGGTTTCAAAGCTCTCTCCTTTTCGAGGTGGCAGAGGGAAATAATTCCACTGTTTATTTAGGTCGTATGTTAGAGTCCCATTCTCTTATCTTTATTTTAGTGTGCAGATCTCCAATTATTCATGCTTAAATTTCATTCTAAGGTTACAAGAGAATATCAAATAAAACACTCCTTTTGAGGTATAGCTTTTTAAGGTCTACTAGGGTGATATGACTGAAATATAGGATTTTATAGAAGATAGCAGAAAGTCATATTTTGCACAGGTGTCACTAAAATATTTGCCTTTAATGTCTTAGAACATGTTCTTTTCTAAGCCACCTCTCCTAAAGATGAAGAGAAATTTTTGGTTTTACTAGACTTTCTGACTGCTGATAATATGTGTATGCCCTGGCAGGGGTAGCTCTTGTAATGTCAATATCAAGGGGCAGTTATAAGGACCCACTACAGTGTCACGTCTAAAATGGTACAGACAATTGTCTTCTATAAGTGAGAATGTATTAATTGGGTGTAAGTGTGCCACAAGGGAGGAAGCAGAAGTGGGACCATATTTCAGAATCTAATCTGTAGATTTAGATGATCACTTATTTGTGTTTGGGTAAAAATTTTATTTTATTTTATTTTATTTTATTTTATTTAAACCCTTATTAAAATTAAATGTTGCACTACATGGAATCTGTTGGAGAAAATACATTAATACCTTTTAGAAGATCTTAATGCAATGGATATTAAGTGCATTTGTTAACAATGTACTATGAAAATTCCATTTCTCATCATAGGCATAGGCAACTGTTCCTCTTGTCCTTTATTTCCATATGTAAGTATATAGATATAAGCCAGCCATGTTTATTAGCAAAAATTGGCTCCATGCATTAGCCCTAAAATACTTTTCTTGTTGGCCTGTTATTGAATTACACCTCATTTTCTACCCCGTAACCTTTTCAATTAGAGCCACCAAACAAGTGGATAGATATTTCACTGTGAAAATGCCACTTTTAAAATGTCTTAATAATTAATTTATTCAAAATAGTCAACCAATTCTTATCGAGTTCCTATGATGGGTCTGCTTCTACACAAGGCCCTAAGGTTAAACAGGTGAACAAAGCAGACACACCTTGCTCTCATGGATTTACAATCTAAGAAAACATAAATAAATACAATAAATGCAGCTGACAAATAAAAAGTTAACAAAGCTGATA